AAGGGCGACGCGGCCGAGGTGGACGAGCGCTTCCCCGCCTGCATCCGCGACGCCGTCTCGCAGGTGCTCAAGGGCTACGACTGGAGCCTCGTGCCCATGCCCGTGCGCGGCAACGGCGCGCTCAAGGCCAAGCCGCACGTCAAGCGGCCCATGAACGCCTTCATGGTGTGGGCGCAGGCYGCCCGCAGGAAGCTCGCCGACCAGTACCCGCATCTGCACAACGCCGAGCTCAGCAAGACCCTGGGCAAGCTGTGGCGGTGAGTGCCGCTCCGCTGCGCTGCGCCGCGCGCTCCTTGCGCGGCCGGACCCGCGGGCAGCGCATCTGGATCCTTCTCTTTTCCTCCCCTCTTTTCCTCCCCCTTTTTTCTTTCTTTTTAAACCTCTCTGCTTTTTTTTTTTTTTAATTATTTATTTTCTCCCTGTCTCTCGCTGCCCACGGGGCGGTTCTGGAGCCGCTGCGAGCTGCAGGGCAGAACCCCCCGGTGCCCGGGCCCCGCGGAGAAGCCCCCGCAGCGGCCGCCGCGGGTTCAGCCCCGCTCCCTGCGCGGGACAGCGGCCTCGGGCCCCCCTCCCGCGGCCTGCGCCCTGCTGCTGGGGACCTGCTTTTTTCATTGCTGCTTTTACAGCTTTTCTTCCCCCCTTCGAAAAGTATTTTCCTGGCCAGCTTGCTTGCTGCTTAACAAGCTTTGCAACCAAGCAAGCCGATTTTTAGCAGTTATTTTAATCTGCACGGCAATTTCGCTTCTCATGAGTGTGCTTACGTGTTCGGTGCCACTCGCTGCTRTGAGCGCTCGCACTTTTGCTGGGCAGCTCCGTGCTCAACGGGCTGTGCTTCRCCCTGCCTCGCAGCTGGTTGCATCTTTCTGCACCCAAATTTGTGTCTTTTCTGCCCATTCCGGCCAGCGGTGTCCCTGCTGTGGATCGGGATTGCAAAGAGATTTGGGAGGAATAGAGTTTTAAAAGAAAACCCCACCGCTGTCGCTCTTGCGGATTCTTTGTAAGCGCCAGACAAAGCTGGAATCTGGCAACGCGGTTTGTCATGGCGAGGGGGTGGCACTTCTGGGACAAACACGGGAATACCGTTCAGCAAAGGGATAAAAAAGTGACGTTTAAAATGGAGTGGAGGAATTTTGGTTTGCTCTCTTGGCAGTGTCCGTAGTGGAAGTTTTTTCATGCCCCTAACTATTTCAATACTTTTGAGACATGGTTGAGCTGCCTTTTTAAAAAAAAAAAAAAAAAAAAAAAAAAATTTATTTTTTCGGTCACAGCAAATTTGTTTTGTAATTTGGTTTGTTTGCCCAAGTCAGTGCATGGGAAGGGAGGATTTAAGTCTGAAAATAGTGAGAGCTTCTAAGGGAAAGACATTAACTTTGGATTTTTTTATTCCGAACCAGTTTATTAAGCGAAAATGAGAAACGTCCCTTTGTGGAAGAAGCGGAGCGSCTCAGGGTGCAGCACAAGAAGGATCACCCGGATTACAAATACCAGCCGCGGCGGAGGAAAAGCGTGAAAGCCGGGCAGAGCGACTCGGACTCGGGGGCCGAGCTGAGCCACCACGCGGGCACRCAGATCTACAAGGCGGACGGCGGCCTCGGCGGCCTGGCCGACTCGCACCACCACGGCGATCACGCAGGTAAGGGGCCCGCGRGCAGCAGACGGGCCGGCCACTTGTGGTGGTCATCTGCAAAACGAGCCCGTGTGGGCTTGTTACCCACCAGGATGCATGGAAATGTGCAAGGTCGGGCCCTTCCAGAATGGGGAGATGTTGCTCTGAGATTTTTTTTTTTGCACCATGGTTTTAGTAAGTGTGATAAGTCCATAAGGTGCAAGGGATCRTGGTTTACTGGTTGTCCAGGAACAGGAGCACTAATGGCACAAGGAGAAGTGTTAATCCCCGGTGCTGCGCGGAGCCCTTCCTGGGGGTGAGCCCGTGAGCTCTGCCCGAGCGTTGCCGTTCCCCAGCGGAGCTCGGGGTTGGCAAACCCGCGTGTTGACAGATTCCCAGAGGACTGTAACATCCTTGGAGGTGCCTGTGTTCTTGCGAGCCTGGCTGCGGGCTCTGGCCCCTTCCCTTGCCACCCAGCCGGGGGGCATTGCGCTTTTGCTGAAATCGGGGCTCACTTCACCATGGCCCCTCTGAATCCCTTCTGATCCCGTTTTCCCATCAGGCGCCAGCTTGGCAAGCTGGGGTTTGCTGCGATGCCTTGGCGAGGGGTCGACGTGGTCACTGTGGGGACATCCACCAGGTCGCCATGGGGCCACAGGCTCCTGTCCCCCTTCCCCTCTTGCAGTGCATGGGGGGAAGCTCCTGCCYGTGTTTCCCAGCCCTGTCGTGGCCGTCTCTAAACCCCCGTCTCCGCTTTGCCCCCAGGCCAGCCCCACGGGCCGCCCACGCCGCCCACCACCCCCAAGACGGACCTGCACCACGGCGGCAAGCAGGAGCTGAAGCACGAGGGCCGCCGCCTCGTGGAGAGCGGCCGCCAGAACATCGACTTCAGCAACGTGGACATCTCGGAGCTCAGCTCCGAGGTCATCAACAACATGGAGACCTTCGACGTGCACGAGTTCGACCAGTACCTGCCGCTCAACGGCCACGCCGCCATGCCGGCCGAGCACGGCGGCGCTGCCGGCGCCTCCTACGGCGCCTCCTACTCGGCGCCGGGCGGCGGCGCGGCCCCGGTGTGGACTCACAAGAGCTCGGCGTCCTCCGCGTCGCCGCCGGCGGCCGAGGCGGCCCAGCAGCGGCCGCACATCAAGACGGAGCAGCTGAGCCCCAGCCACTACAGCGAGCAGTCGCACGGCTCCCCGGCGCACTCCGACTACGGCTCCTACAGCGCGCCGGCCTGCGTGGCCACCACGGCCAGCGGCGCCACGGCCGCCGCYGCCTCCTTCTCCAGCTCGCAGTGCGACTACACGGACCTGCAGAGCTCCAACTACTACAACCCCTACCCCGGCTACGCCTCCAGCCTCTACCAGTACCCCTATTTCCACTCGTCGCGGCGCCCCTACGCGACGCCCATCCTCAACGGGCTCTCCATCCCGCCGTCCCACAGCCCCACCACCAACTGGGAGCAGCCCGTCTACACGACGCTCACGAGGCCCTAGGGGACACGGGGGGCTTGGCCGGGCTCCCCCCCGCAATGTGCACTAATGAAGGAATGGTGAGGATGAGGAGGAAGGCGGCCGGCGGCCGGCTTCGCTTCCGAAGTGCCTCCTGAGCCACTGGGAACTCTGCTCGCCGCGGCTGGACGTCCCCTTGCTTTGAGATTCTCCAAAAGGACAGAGCTCTATTTTTTTTTCCCTCCTCTTTAATTAATAAAATTTACAGATAATTAAAAAGGACTAGTAATTCCTTTTGAATAAATGAAGGACAAACCCATTTGACTCCTCTGTGAGGACTGGACTGGGCTTAATCCGTCTTGAAAGTCGACAAGTGCAAAAACGGAGGGAGGGGAAGCATTAAAAAGAAAAAAAAATACAAAAAMACCACAAACCAAGCCGTAGGAGACTTTAAGGGTCTGTTGCAATGTGAGGAATGGACCAACCTTGAGGGCAAGAACTCACTGGGACCAACCTGTCGGAGAAAGGAAAATCCAGCTATTCCATGCAACCATCTTGTGGGAACAAACATGTCTGGTGGGACCAAGCAATTAAATGTCTGAAGTGTTCGTTGTTTCGTTTTTTTTCTTTTTTTTCCTTTTTTTAGTCAAGAGTTCTTCTAAGCAAGGTTTGGCTATAATTAACATTTTGGTTTTTTTTGGAAGCTTAAAGTGTTTTTAAAAATCTGTTAAATATGTATTTATGTTCTGTATTATTTTGTCTTTTAATTAATGAAGTAATTTTGTGCAAAAAAAAAGTAGAATTTTAAGAGATTTTAAAGATGGGTGGGGAGGGAGTATAAAATAGTGGAGATGATACAATAAAATGGTGTTATGAGTCTATAGATTTTTTTTCTGTGGTTTTGGGGTTTTTTTTGCTTGTTTTGAGCTGCTGCAGCAGTTGGGTTAGAGGGAGCCTGGATGGATCTCAGCATCGCACAGAGCCGCTCATGGACATGTGAAATCCCCGGGGGGAATGCAAGGGAGAGGGCTTGCTGCAAACGCTACTCATTAAATCTGGAGGCTAAAATGATTGCAAAAAGGAGCAGGCAATGGGAGATTTTTTTTTTAATTAATTGGCTACCTGCTTTCGTATGTTAAAATTGGATGTAAGGCATTGCGGAATCCATGTATAGTTCCAGAACCAGGACTACTTTAGAGAAAGATGTAATTTAATGAGAAATTATCAACTTCTGCTTTAATTTTGGCTTCTTAGGGACCAGATATCATCCATCAAGCTGTGAAACTAAAATCTTCTCCACTAAAAAAAAAATGTTTAGGTACTTAGTTTTTAGACTAATATTTCATTGATATATTTCTACTTCTTCCATTGTATGCTGAGCATATAATAACCATCTATTTTATGGTAACTTGTGCCTTTAAAAAACTTTGTAAATCTAAAAACACATTTCAGAGGTTATCATCTTTTTACCTTTTCTATGTTTCCTACTTTTTCTAAAAATATTTTTTGCATATTTCCTTTGGGGGACATGGGGGTGGGGGAAGATACAGAAAACTCATTTTTATGCAATCTATTTTTCTGTATAAAGTTTGAGAGCCTTTGGCTGTTACTTATCTGTTTCTCTTCACTAGCTTCTGACTAAGCAATGCTAACTTTTGTACAGATCAATTTGATAAAAATTAAAAATTGCTTTTTATCAACCATGTGTTATGTTTTCTTTCTGTTTGGGCTGATTGCTGTGCCAAAATGAAACCTGGAGATTACTTAGATAGTTGAGGATAGTTAGGATATTTGGATAGTTAGGTTATTGAGCATAGTTAGGCTATTGAGGATTAAATACGTTGGCTGAGGTTTCTATGTACTCCTAATTACTCTTAATGTATCTTTTTCTCCCCATCTGCTTAACCCTTCTGCYTAGACTTTTTTACTAAAATTATTTTTCACTTTTTTTTTTTAATTGAGTATTTTTCCATGCAAATCTGCTGCCTTTCATTTGGCTTGCTCAGGTGAATACGGGCTTGCAGAGTCCGACGACCGGCTTTGAAACCAGCGTCGCTCTGTTCTGCGTCCTGTGCAGCCTGTAGGAATTTTACAGGAACASATTCCGTCTCCTGGTTGGCGAGTGCTTGTAAATACCTCTTAATTACGAGAGCAACCAAATTATATGTTGCAGGCAGTGTTTTTTTTAAATGCAGTCATTAAAATAGCTACACGGGTGCTTTTTTTTTTAATTTTTTTGGGGGGTTATCTAAACTAAGTTGTAGCTTCCCCAGTGCAGACAAACCGGTGGAAGGCTGTTGGGTCGGGGCCTAATTGGGAGGAAAAAGCTCGGCTTTGGGCAAAGCCCGCTGCCCCGGTCCCGCACTCGCGCCCTGGCTGCAGTGCAGCCCTGTGGAAAACGTCTGAACGGGGGGGAAAAAATAAATGCGATGGCAATTAATGAAGCTCAAGAGCGTTAACGGAGGCTGAGCAGCGGCGTCCCGGAGCAAACTCGCTGCGTCTGCCAAGACCTATCTCGCCGCACTGTCTGTAACTGGACACCATTTTCTCTGCGCTCATTTGCAGAACTGCTGGCAAAATGACTTTATTGCACTAAAAGCCAAAGCTGCAGAAGAGCCCTGAGAGGCGATTTTCTTTTCTCCTTTCCCCTCCCTCCCGTTGCAAAGTGGGTTTCAAGTCTTATCCCGGCTCATGCGAGGAAAGGAGGCGTTTGCTGCTGCCTGCCTCGCATGCTGATGCGGGGCTTCCTCCCCAAGGCCGCTGTGGGAGACGAGGGGCAAAAATGCAATAGTAAAATGGGGTTGTAAGTGCTTGTTTTTACTGCTTYCTTGAAGTTTGGTGGCAAAGTTTGCAGTGATTTCAGCAGCGTGTGGGTTGAGYTCCAGGCGGGAGCTGGAAGGTCCGTGCATGGAGTGGTGGGAAGCACCCGGAGCATGGACACGCTGAGGGGACAGGCGTGCAGGGATGTGCTCCAGCTCTTCCCTCTCRCATTGCCCTTGTTTTCCCAGCTCCAGCATCCAGCTTCCCAGGGTTTGCTCCATGCAACGGGCAAGCCGTGGCCTGGGAATCTGTCGGCTGCTCCAGCTTTACAGTGGGGTGCTGCTGGCGGATACCCCGGATTTTGAGACAGAGACACTGAATTGAACCCAGGCTCACAGATTCTCTGGATCTTGCAGGCTATGCGGTATCTTATTTACATTTGCAGCAATAGGCTGCTCTAGATCCGCACAGCCCCACAGCTACCAGCAGCGTTGGGCGCAGAGGACGTGCTGCACACCCTGCAGCAGCTCGGAGCTGCGCCCCAGGGAGGTTCAACATCTTCTGCTCAGCCCACGGAGCAGGTGATGCTCGCAGCAAGTTTACCGAGCAAAGCGCAAAGAAAACGGGTGTTCAAGATGGTGACAGGCGGGTAAAACTCCTCACCCTGAATAATCCCGGTGACTCAGACTTCAGAGCGTGCTGGAAATTTCTGAGAGCACCAGAAGCTCCCCCCACGCTGAGGCGAACGCTGACATATCCCGCGCCCCCATCTCGTTCTCTTCGGAGAAAAACACCGATCTGTTGCACACCCCATACGTCGAGAAAAGYGTTTTGGTTGGGAATTAATGCTCTCTTATGCCAGCGCGGCTCCAGGGTGGCTCCGCGCAAGCCTGTGCCATCAGGGAAGGCAGGGCCTGCTGGTGACCCTTGGCTGCCAACAAAAAACAGGCTGCGCGGATAATTACAGGGATGCACGAGCCAGAAAAGTCCCCCTTTGCTTTTGGGGCAGGGAATGCTGAATGCCCCTGTTCATCCGAGTCGCGGGGATTGCAGTGGTTAGCGAGAAAGAGGAAATTGCTTTTATAGGCGATATCCACGTTCCTTCTGCACGGAGGGAAAAAGTCCCTTCCCATCCTCATTGTTATATCCCTGGATTGATATCGGCTTTCGTGACGTGGTTTTTTACAGCCAGGTATTGGCTTTATGGCAGAGGAATTCCTCCCCGAGGAGTGGATCCATGAGGTGCCTGCGGCGGGGGCAGCCTCAGCCCCCTTGCGCGTGGGTCTAGCCCGGGTCTACATGTGCCAGGAGATCCCAGGTGCAACCACCTCCGGCATCCAAATCCCGCTCCCAATCCATCACCCGCCAAAGCGGCCATGGGATTGTGGGAATTTAGGGAACGGATTGCCCACCACTACCCTGCTGGTGCCGGCAGTATCGTGCCCGGCAGACAAGCAATATTCCAGCATCCCAAACCCGCTGCCCGCTTTCTCCTCCCCTCTCCCTCCCTGCTCCCTTCCTGACCCTGGTTCCGGCATCGGCCTCCAGAATGGGAAAGGGTTAAGCGCCTTTCGGAAGGTCCCGCTGGAGGTAGAGCGCATTTTAACCAGCGCGCACATAACGAAGGCGAARCCGCCTGAATCGCTGGTGAGGAGCCAAGAGCGCGAGAGAGGAGCTGCTGAATTTTAATGATTCATTATTGCAGCGCGGGCCTTTGTCTTCCTTTATCCGGTGCACAATAAAAGAATTAATTGGACAGAAAATGGCAGGGCAAAGAACTGACAAGTCATTAAGGGGCTCTGAATGGCTGATTAGGTGCACATTGGGGGTGGAATTTCAACGGCACTGTTTCAGCAAGGGCTCCGGAATAATAATGGCACGGCACAGTTTATATTTTGTATGCAGTACCAGAAAGGCCTTTATGTCGGCATTGTGGGGCGATTCCTCCCGCGGCCCGCTCGGCCAGCGCCGCCTTTGTGCTCGCCGTAAGAATGCGCAAACAAAGTTAGGGTTTAAAAAAAAAAAAAACACAACTTTGCAAAGGCAAAATAATTGGGAGTCGCAATCTCGCTGCACGGAGAGTTTTATTAAATTTTTTCTTTTCCCCTCTCCGCCTGCCCGGTAAATATTTAGACTCGAGAGAAGCGACTTCAACTGGGGAAGGAGAAAGAACTAATCGGCGGCTCCCGCTCGCCCAGGGAGCCGTCACGGGGAGGGAGCGGAGCCGGCGGGATGCTCCATGCGGTGGGATGCTCCGTGCAGCGGGATGCTCCATGGAGCGGGATGCTCTGTGCAATGGGATGCTCCATGCAGCGGGATGCCCCGTGCAGCAGGATGCTCCATGCAACAGGATGCTCCGCAGTGTCCCGCTCCTGCTGCCCAAGTTCTGTCCTTGCTGCCGCATTGAGCAGGTGCCGGAGCATTATAATAGAAACCGCATGCATGGGGGAAAAAAACAGAGTATGGCGGGCGGGGGCGATTTTGGTGGGAAATGTGCTTTTATTTTTATTATAAGAGCATAAGAAATAAGGCAAGCAGTTTGCTTACTAATCTGTACACAGCTGATGGGAATTTTTAGGAAAAAGAAAAAACCTTAAAGAAGACAAGGCATTTCTTCCTGCTTTTACATAACCTGGGAATTTTTGCAAGGCCAAGACTGCCTTTTTAATTTTCTGTGCAATGCTCGGAGGCTGAGCTCATTTCCGGCAGCATTTTTCCCATCCGCGGGATCCGTCCTCACCTAGATGTCACTTTGCCAACCCAGCGTTCTCACCCTTTTTCTTCCTTTTTTTCTTTTAGGACTAATAACGGGTTAAGTCTCTCTCTCTCTATTTGAAGACGTGAGAGGGAATTTGGGTGTCAGGGAGA